CACTTTAAAAATATACCCAAATGAAGTTTCATACTAATATTATAAATGCGAAAGTTTAGATGGATGGATGATTGATAGAGTTTGTATTGTAGCCTAAACTGCTGAACGGATTTCGATGAAATTTGGTACAAATGCAGAGGATAATCTGGAAAAACATATAGGCTACTCACTTTTGTTTTTTTAATTCCACGCGGACGGAGTCGCGGGCAAAAGCTAGTAAATTATAAAAGGCATGTAATAAATCAACATGAAAATAATTGGATACAACATATCCAATATGGCGTTGCGCGGGAAATGTCTTAGGGATTTTCTACCAATAGAAAACGTCGCAGCGTATAGAATAAAGGAGCGTTTGTAAACATTACGCGAGTTTATGCTGGAGATATACAAAACGATTTTATTGTATTCACCAAGGATGTCGCCTTTTCTATTAGTTGCATTAGTATTCTTTTATTCCTTTGGCAAAGACCTATTGAATTTAAAGACATGTTCAACCACAGATAATATAATAATATTTATAAGATCTGCAGACTTAGGGCATGTCCCACAATTCTTGTAAATTATCAGATCAATAAAACAATCCAACGTATAAAATATATGATGGTAGTAAAGCAGGTACTCTATCTGACAGTGTCGTCACTTTTAAGCTACTTGAGCTTCTATCAGCCAGTGGTGGGACAGGCCCTTAGTCTCATTTATTCTCAATAGTAATGAAAGGGTGAAGGATTTTTGTTCAGGTGTTCCGACAGTGGAAACGGTGCAGAAAAGGAAACAATTGAAATCTTTTAGTACTCTTCTTTTACTTCTCTTACTCCTGCTTTAAATGTCGCTTTAATGATTACTGAACTACATATTATCGGTATGTAACATTGAAATGTTGCTGAAGTAACTTGAAGTCCTTTGAATCTCGTTTTTGTTTGTTTTTAAACTAACATTTATTAAAACTGATTATGCTCGTTAGGTAAAATTTGTGACAAAATGTGTGGATCAAAGAATTGTTTACGATCAGATGGTTGATATTAAAATAGTTGTAACACTCGAATTATAGTCATTATGTACCGTAGTCTTGTTCACAATCAGCTTGATTAGTTTTTAAATGTTCCGCTGTATTTATTCTGTATACTTAATGACAATGTTATTAAGTAGTGAAATGAACACAGTATCCGAATAGTCCTGTTTTTTCAATACTATCTTTTTTTCTTACAATGCATGATACTTAATATCGATTACGATAACTTCGTTCTATATAAGTTAACTAGAAAGTACAGAGTACAAAAAATATATGTGTATGTTTTTAGTTCGAGATATTATTTACAAATCTCTTAATTCTATTTTTGGTTCACAATCATGTCTGTGATGTTACTTAATTTAAAAGCCGAGTTATAATGTATTTTAGTACAAATAAATAAGAGAAAAACGATGCTAAAGTGAGAGCGTACTTTTCTACGTCGCTAAGCAATTCAGTCCATATTACGTTAGTATTGTGTGGATACGCGGCCGGAATCCACAAGTCGCTATGGGCATTTGTTAACCGTGAAATTGTACTGTCGCATCTCTTGTCTTTGTCTTTTGATAGAGAACGAGTGAGATGACAATATGTTTTACAAAACAAAACTATGGAGACAGTTATGTTACGCTTATGTAACTACGGACCGCTTTTTCTATGACCGTGATGCGTGATTGACGTACGATACTTGATACTTTGACGGTAATGTGGCCTTACCAATTGTTGTACTCAGGTTGTACTCTATTTATAAACTGCAAGCACTAATATATATGAAACTGTCATCAATTGTTGAGAAATGTTTAATTGAGTTTCTTCATTTATTCGTCGCTCTCGTCTCTTTTATTTCCCTTTTATTCCAGTTTTTTCTAACACTTTATACGAAAGAAAGAGAGAGACACTTCTGTAGATTTCTCATAACACAGTAACCACATAGTCGTTTAACGCTAACACAATGAGATAAAAAAACCACAGCGAAAATAATTCTATATCAGTTATTTTGTGAATACAAAATGCACTTTTTTTCCTATATTATAATTATAAGGCCCCAAACGGCCTGAATTCGCTGAAATAGCAAAGCGAACATCATTGCGGATGCAATACCAACCTTTAATCGACGGTGGAGGGGACGCAAAAAAAAGGACTCACGTAAACACTTAAGTTATCAATGCAGGGAGCATTTTTAAATATTAACATGATGTTTATAATATTTCTTCAAGTAATACATGATTATCGTATCTAAAGAATAATACGATATGCAATCTATTTCAAATTACATGATATTACTTGAATCCTTTAGAACGATTGTCAATGAATTTACAATATCTTATCGCTATTTATTGTGTTTTGTATTGAATAGTTTCAGTTATAATTTAGTAGCAACAAAGAATTTTTATACTTCTGATAGACGGATAAATATCGGTACTGAAACACGTGTAAATATATTTTGGACGATTTGATATGCGTTTTATACAAGTATCTCTTAAGTACATATACTGTACATACATACTGCATCTTTTGTTTCATGATAGACTGGTGCGTGATGTATTCTGTACTAGCTATCGCCCGCGACACCGTGCGCGAGGTATTAGATTTTTTTTTTAAATAGGCAGAGTATATAGACTATGTTCTACATCTATGTCACATTTTAAAGGAATCCTTTGGACCGTTCTAGAAATATAGAATAACAAATATCTATTTGCTTTAGTATTTACTAGCTTTTCTCGTGCGGCTTCATCCGCATGAAAGTTGTAAAAGCTTTATTTTATTGTTCACATTTGTCAAATTATCAATAGCAAATGTCAAAATGACATGACATATCATGACAAACCTTTGCATTATTTCTTTCTTGATGTTGGCAGCAACTTATGGTCTCTTTCCCACATTAGGGTTTTTATCCAAAATATTTACCCCCTAAGTTTAATGGCGTTTTAATAAAAAAATAATTATTCAAAAATATGCTGTAATCGCTTACATGCTTAGGCAACAAAGAAGTGTGTTACGTTTTAGTGTAATAGTATAGATCAATTAATAAAATTCAGTACGAAATGTAACCCATGTCGTTACATCTGTTTATATAAACGAAGTATTTAGCGACCCGAATTAGTTCCAATTTACGAACACGTAGGACTATGTGATCTCGTTTCCTTTCAAATCAACGTAGGTGTGCGGTTAAAGGTTACGATTGGTAACTAATTACTTTAATGGTTACCTCAAATACATTCAATGATGTTTTAAGAGACGATCTTTAGAGAGATTTATGAATTTTCAACATCAATTTTGTTAGAAAGTTTTGAAAATCTAATATGAATATACGTGACATTAACAACGAAATCTTGATGAGAAAGATGCATCATTGATATCGTTTTAAAATATGAAAGTAAGTGATTGTATGTATGTATGTATGTAGTGTATTGTCCGCTCTATATTTCGTTTGTATTTGAATCTCTATGGATGTTGTTAGTGTCATGTTGCAGTTAATATTTTCGTTTAGATTGTCAATTCTCTTGTTATTTTTTTTTGTTTTGTGATATGGTGTCAGTATTAGCTAGTAAAATCATTTAGCGTACGTCCGTGGCGCGGCTCGCCACCGTATAATGGCACATTTGCATATTCGCTGTATTGCCGCGCGGGGACAATTGCGGTTAGAATTGCCCTATAGCGGTAGCCACAGTTTGAAGAAAAAATTAGGACTTTTTATATCACATTTTATTAATGTTCCTTTTACAGTAAACCCCTCTATAATACGTACCTATTTCCGCACTCCATATAACGCGAAAATAACCTCCCTATAATGCAAATATTGCCAACAATTTTTTTTAAATCAAACCCCTTAAAAAGCTCTGCCCTTATGAAAAACGTTGTTATAAGGGGGATTCCATCAATCGCGTTATAGTGGTTTACTGATTTTTTTAAAATTATGTTGTCATGTCGCGTTTGGACAAAGTATTCTATTTTTTTTTCAGCGTTTTTAACGATAAGTCATGTCACATATTGTCAACCTTTTTATTGGGAGGGGATTTAAGAGCTTAGGAGTTCCCAAGTTCAAGTCTCGATAGCCCTTGTTTTTATGGTGACCGTATGTCGGCGCCGGTCTATGTAACGCCAGTGAGGTCGTGTTCGCGGCATCCGATCTCCTCACGCCTTGGTATGGCTAGCCTGGCTATTAAGTCGGGCTATTAGGCCGATATGACGCATGCTAAGGATCCTACATAGCAATAGCTTAATATCTCATTAATGTTATTTATTGTTAATTATTGTCTATAGTTGTTTTGATTGTGATACGTATTATATCAAAGTTATCTATATCTATACTTACTATTATAAAGAGGGAAGACTTGTATTTTCGGATTTTTGTATGTATTGAAATAACTCAAAAACTACATGACAGATTTAAAATAATCTTTCACCGTTATAAAGCTACGTTATCGAGTAACATAGGCTATATTTTATAATTTCACGTGGAAGAAGTCACGAGCAACAGCTGGTCTTTTAATTTTTTTTGAGTCGGAGAAACTGGACTGACATTTATCTATACTCTATACTATTATAATAAAGCGTAAACACACACTTCTTTGTTGCCTAAGATGCAATCACAGCATATTTTTGAATAATTCTTCTTTTAATAAAAAGCCCCACACTTACGTCACGTTTTAGGCTATATTTTTCAAGCCATTATACTTAGGGGATAAATATTTTGCATAAAAATCCTAATGTGGGAAAGAGACCATAAGTTGCTGCCAACATCAAGGAAGCAAGGTTGCCAGGGTTCATCATAATGTCATGTCATTTTGACATTTGCAATTGAAATTTGACACATGTAAACAACAAAATATTTTATACAGATGAAGTCGCACGGGAACAGCTAGTTTTTATATACGTATTCTTAAAGATGGAAGGTGTTTTTGGCTCACTTTACTAATTAACAAAGTTCATTGAAATATCCAGTATGTAAGCAGTAAATTGTAATTTATTGTATTAAAATGTTTGTTTGTAGGTGGGCGGCGTGGTCGGCGATGGGGTGTTTCGGCTCACCGGGCGGCAAGAGCAGCGAGGGCGATGACCTCAAGTCTCAGAAGCGCCGTAGCGATGCCATCACCCGCCAGCTGCAGAAGGATAAGCAGGTAATAAAAGTACCTATTGGATTTCGCAGTCTAAGTTGCGTTTAGAATATAAGAGCAGTTCATACCAACTTTGTGACGACTCAAAATAAAAAAAATGTAATCGTTTTATTTGGGTAAATGGTCGTGAGGGTATACGTTGTATGTGAAGACATGCGTTAGTAACTGACCACGGAACGACATCATCATCATCAACTAGTCTTTGGCCCTACGGAAGTTCGGCACAGTATGTGCTGCTCTTCTATACATATCTATCAGCCGTCATATCTGAATCTACTCCCTTCTTAAGCATATATTCTTTTACACCACCCATACTTTCTTTAGTCTTCCTCTACCTTTGTAGCCATCCAGATTCAATATTAACACTTGTTGGTTTATGTTCCCATCTTCTCGTCGCATAACATGTCCATACCACGCTAACCTTTTGCTTCTCAATTTCTCGACCACTGGTGCTACTTGAAAGTAGAGGAGGAGGAGAAGAATGTGTACATAAGAGGAAGTTTGATAACTTCCTCTTATGTACACATTCTTAACATTATTCCTACTTTATAATACTTTTTGTGGAAGCCAATCTGAGTGTTATATCTTGTAGTCGGTTTCCTTCTAGGAAAGGTTAGCGTGGTATGGACATGTTATGCGACGAGACGATGGAGACATAAACCAGAAAGTGTTAAGAATGAATGTGGATGGCTACAAAGGGAGAGGAAGACCGAAGAGAGTATGAATGGATTGTGTGAAAGAGGATATGCTCAAGAAAGGAGTCGATTCAGAGATGACGGCTGATCGAGATGTATGGAAGAGCAGCACATATTGTGCCGATCCTCCATAAGGGATAAGGGCAAGTTGATGATGATGGTTTCCTTTTAGGACAATAATATTGTCTAACTGTATTGTTGATATTAGGCACAAGAGTTATTGTCTCGAAATTGTAAGAAAAAATGTTTTAGAGTCATTTTCTTTGCATTCCAGTTGTACCGGGCGACGCATCGCCTGCTGTTGCTGGGCGCTGGTGAGTCTGGAAAGTCGACCATCGTGAAGCAGATGCGCATTTTGCACGTCAACGGTTTCTCCGACAAAGAGCGCCGCGAGAAGATTGAGGACATCAAGAAGAATATACGAGATGCTATCCTTGTAAGATTTATAACAAGAACACTCCTGTTCAGTTTAGTTTTTAAAGATATGTACAGTCGCGACAATCTGCGGTGTTTTTTTTTTATAACATAAGGTGGCAAACGAGCAAGCGGCCACCTGAATCGGCCAAAATGGCGAAGCGACCGCTGCCCATAGACATCAGCGATCGCAGATGCGTTACCTACCCTTATCTAACGGAGGAAAAGACGCACATAAAGAGGATATTTCCCCTTCCTATGCATCTCCTCCACCGTCAAACTTCACCTTCCCAATCTCTCCTTATAAGAAAAGGGTGGCACACTCATCAGACGAAACACGGAATTGCTTCCACTTCACGCCTGTCTTCTGTTTGGTCGTGGTATTAGTGGGGGCGTGCCGGCCCTGCAGTGCTAACATGTTAAAGCGGGCACTACCACTGTCAAAAACTGTTCGACTAACAGAAAAGTTGCCTTGTTCACTTATAAATAACCAATTAGCAGTGAGTGGTGGAAACGAAGGGGTAATAATAAAAAGCAATTAGCCATGTACCACTGACAATCTTTTTTCGTATAGACAAATTTAAAGCGTATTATTCGTTATTGTGTTTTGTCATCAACTCTAAACGTTCAAACGATTAAAACTTTTAAGATGGAACACCGCCAATTTCCCTGATTGTACCTAATGGTTTCGCCTTCATTATCCAGTAGATGCCTTTTCTGGTCTTTTATATACTGATTTGTAGGTGACCATACTTGTCTCAAATCTTGTGCGTTCGAGTACGAATAATAATTTATACTTGAGTGATCTTTGCCACTTTCCAAGCTTTGCCCCCTTAATTTAGATTATTACTAGCTTTCTCCCGCTACTCCGTCCATGTGGAATTAAGAAAACACACACAAAATTAAGTAGCCCTAATGTTCTTCCAGACTATGCTCTACATCTATGTGAAATTTCTTCAATATCTATTTAGCAGTTTAAACTACAAACTCTAACAAACATCCATCTAAACTTTCTCATATAATATTAGTAAGATTCATCTTGTATTAATGTAATATTTTTCATATTTCAGACAATAACTGGTGCAATGAGCACGCTGACGCCGCCCATACCGCTCGAGAAACCGGAGAATAAGGCGCGCGTTGATTATATTCAGGTAAAATTGTTACTGAAAATTTTACTCCGGAACAACTTTGGACACTAACCAATCATCACTCTATGTCCCCACTGAGGGGCTCGGAGCCTTTTTTTCCAGAGGGGAATGCTTTACGCATACTGCGTGCCCTCGGGGCAGGCACGGGAGTTACGTAGAATTTTCCCCATAATGTGGCATTACCCACTAAACCCCTCTGTTCCCTCCTGGCCAATGTGTGGGACGCCGCGGGATCGCTTTCACTTACCACCGCGACGCCCGGGGGGTGGGGGGCTCGGAACCTGCAAGTTAGGGTGACTAAGCCTTGGTAACTCATGCTGCACTGCGGGTTGATTTCAAACATGTCTTTGAATTTCTTCTCCGATATCTGCATGTATCACCATTTTCCTTTATCATGACAACGTTTGGTATATTATGTACATGTGTAATTCTAAAATCACATTACAGCCGTGAAAATCTGCGATGTTCCACTTCAGGAAAAATTGCCTTGTTTATTGCAGTGAAAATCTCCGCCTCCTACAAATAATTAATAAGATAGCAGTGCAAACGAAGGGATAATAAAAACAAACTAGCCATGTCTAATCGACTTTTTTTCGAGCAGAGACACAAGCTTCCTTATGTTGATTTTTGTTCCTCGTCTGATGTTCCTGACTGTACTTTGTGGGATGGTAGCCCAGGACCTGTACATTACAAGTCAAGTGTTTAAACCCTTGAACCACTGACAATCCTGATCTTGTTCAATTCCAGGACGTGGCATCGCAGCCTGACTTCGACTACCCTTCGGAGTTCTACGAGCACACGGAACAGTTATGGAAGGACCAGGGAGTGCAGCGCACGTATGAGCGCAGTAACGAGTACCAGCTTATAGACTGCGCCAAGTAGTACGTATACTGTCACGAGCTATGCGTTTACATTGTTTTACCTTTTGAAATACAAGTGGCCATCTGAGTTCGCCAAAATGGCGAAATGACCAGTGCCAAGACATTCGCAGTTGCAGATGTGTTACCGTTAATCGACGGACGAGACGCACATAAAGAGGAGATATTTCCCCTTCCTATGCGTCTCCACCGGCAAATCCACTTTTCCTTCCCATTCTTTCCTCTTAAGAAAAGGGTGGAAAGGGAAAAGGACTAAAATTAGGCCTCAGACGAAACGCGGAATTACTTCCACTTCACGCCTGTTTTCTGTGTGGTCGTGGTTTTGCACCGGGCGAGCCGACCAATTCGTGAGATGATAAAGCGGGCTCTACCACTGTTAACTCAATTCTATTCCATTTATTGATTACTTAAACACTCGTTTAGTGAAGATACTTCAAATTATAACTACGCTAATCAACTGATAATTTGATTTTGTAATGCTCGGTTACTGAAGTTTTCATTTATTTTATCGTTACCTAGTGTTAGCTTTTTAGAAGAAGGGTGGGAAGGAAAAGATACTAAAATTATGCCTCCGGCACCACACTCACTAGACGAAACGCGGAATTGTTTCCACTTCACCCTTTTTTTGTGTGGTTGTGGTATTGCGTGGGGCGAGCTGGTCCTATAGTGAAAATATATTTTCTTCTCTATTTATATTGCGTTATGCGAATGTATAAAAAATATGTGTTTATGCTATGTTAAAGCGGACTCTCTCCGTTAAAATATATATGTATGTTACAGTTTCCTGGACCAGGTGCACATAATAAAGCAGGCGGAGTACACGCCGACGGAGCAGGACATCCTGCGCTGCCGCGTCCTCACCTCGGGGATATTCGAAACGCAGTTCGTCGTCGATAAAGTCAACTTCCAGTTAGTATTGCATATAATTTTACTCATCTCCCTTGCCTTATCCTACTCCCGTACGGTCAGCGCACCGGGTTTTCGTCCTCCAAAGCACTCTATCATACGTCATCTCAGTCATCATTCCCGTCTTTATCATGTCACCTTTCACGCAATCCATCCATCTCTTTCTAGATCTACCTCTACCGGTGTACCCTTCCACACTCATAACTAACGTCCGTCTTGTTACATGCGATTCATCCCTTCTCATAACATGCCCATACCACTCTAACTTTTTACTCCTTATTTTCTCAACCACTGGGGCTACTCTCAAACTTTCTCTAATATACTCATTTCGTATCTTATCCAATCGTGTTACCCCACACATCCATCTTAACATTCGCATTTCCGCCACATGTATTGCATATAATTTTACTAATATTATAAATGTGAAAGTTTAGATGGATGGATGTTTGTTAGAGTTTGTAGCCTAAACGGCTGAATGGATCTCTATGAAATTTGGTATAGTTGTAGAGCAGTCTGGAATAACACATAGGTTACTTGCTTTTTTAATTTCTCGTTGACTAGGACTAAATTTAGTAAGTAGATTATGTATTCTGCCATGCTATGTTCGACAACTGTGCCAAATTTTCGCGGGATCCATTAATCTGTTTTGAAAATACGTAACATATATCCATCCATCCTAACTTTTGCATTTATATTAGTTGCATGGATACTAGCATACGCCCGCGACTCCGTCCTACAATTAAAATAAAATAAAAAGTAAGTAGCCTACATGTTCTTCTAGATTATCCCCTAAAGTCATGCCAAATTTCATCGAGATCCATTTCATTTAGCCTACAAACATCCATCCATCCATCTAAACTTTCACATATTAGTTAATGGGTTTGTTTTTAGTCATTCTGTTTTTATAGCCTTTATTTCCCATCTGTATTAAATTCTAGTCATACTTCATACATTATTATAAATGCGAAAGTTTAGATGGATGGATGGATGTTTGTAGGCTAAATGACTAAATGGATCTCGATGAAATTTGGCATAGATGTAGAGGATAGTCTGGAAGAACACATAGGCTATTTGCTTTTTTTCATTCCACGCGGACGGAATATCGAGTATACAATCTTGTGTATATATGTAAATATACGAACGTTGTATTTCAGTATGTTCGACGTGGGCGGGCAGCGGGACGAGCGGCGCAAGTGGATCCAGTGCTTCAACGACGTGACCGCGATCATCTTCGTGACGGCGTGCTCCTCCTACAACATGGTGCTGCGCGAGGACCCCACGCAGAACCGCCTGCGGGAGTCGCTCGATCTCTTCAAAAGCATATGGAATAACAGGTACTACGGGCTTGGCATTGTCGCTTATATTACGAAATGTTCCCGTACGGCTTCATCCGCATGACGTTATAAAAACTTTATTTTGTTTTTTACATTTGTTTACAATTTTCAATTGCAAATATCACAAATCTAATGCGCAAATGATAACGAAAGCCTTTGACATTGGATATTAATTACCATTACCATGGCAACCTTTCTTTCTTAATGTTGTCAGCTTGTAATTTGGTCCTTTTCCCGCATGAGGGTTTTATTTTTCAAATTATTTACTCCCTTAATTTGATAGCTTAAAAATATAGCCTCAATCGTGTCATGAGTGTAGGGCTTTTTATTAAAAAAAGGAATTATTCAAAAATGTAAAATGATTACTGACAATATAACTAATGGATGTCTGTTTACCCTTTATTATATTAGTATACGAGCTGTTGCCCGCGACTTCGTCCGCGTGGTATTAAATACACACGAACTACATAAATAACAAAAAGCTACGTATCCCTCTGGTACCGGACATTTCTCGGGCATGAACATTATCCCATACGTACTCCATA